ATTAAAAGATCTAAATTTCCGCATCATGTGACGAATGGAATGCGAGAATAAGCTGCAAAGAATTCTAAAAAGAAACGAGAAAATTTCTATAATAAGGATATTCTGCAGAAAATACTTCGTTAGAAGTAACATAAAGACGCGAAAGAAAATGATAAAAAAGGCACAGACAAATTTGAATAACCAAGATCTGAGCATCCTAAAAGTTAGAAGCAAAACAGGAACGACTAAAGATGTTTCATAAAGTTTAGTAAAGGGGAAATTAGAAGGTGAGAAAATGGTACCTTCTGATAAGAAGATAAGAAAAAAATCTGTCTCCAAAGAAAATATGTGTCACTGTTCACGGATAGCTATTGCCTAGCTTTTCAATCATTCGTAAAATAAACAATGGGAGAAGACCGGTTCCAGAAAATAGAAACATTTCAAAATTATTTATTAAGCAGATTCTACGTTCTATCTATGTGTAAATCAAATATGGTGACTCCTAAGCAATCAATCTTAAACCTAAACGTACACAACGCTTCCACTCACTCTCCCGTTGTTGAATTGCGCTTTTACAACGCCCTTATCTGACCGGATTTGTCAGCACGAAGTATATGTGCTAATGATTCTTCTATGGCTACACTCATCAATTTAACAGATATCTTGTTGTTGCCATCAGATATCTTATGACAAGACTTATAACAAACAAAATTCAACAGTTGGCAACTTAACCCGCATAAACAAGAAGACAATAACAAACACAACAGAACGGTTCTACCGCATAGTTACTCCATATTGTTCTACAAGCTGATCAGTAATCCTCTTGTGGATAACATTTACTTCGTCCTTGGTTAGTGCTTTGGAGTGGCTTCTATACACAATACGGTATGTCTGGCTGCGGCGATTTTTCTTCTTATTCAGGAACTCATCCGTGAGTTTCACCTATAAGTAGTGATAAAGGAGACTTCACTTTTTCATGCCTGGTAGAAAGCTACATGAGATAAGGCAATTCACAAGCAATTATGGTAAAGATTTCCTACACAACTCATTCAAGTATTTTTGATGTAAGCTTGATCATAGAAAGCTGATAGTTCAAATAAACTAGCTAGCAAAGATGCCAAAGTAGCGAAGGTTGTGAGGTGCGCTACAACTCAGCAATACTTTGCCTAAACCCAGT